CGAAGAATCTCCGGGAGAAAAACCGGCGACGAAGTTCGCCACCAGTCACGTTCTGTCTCCCGTAGGGGCGAAAAGTGGATTGCGGAAACCCGTCTGGCTACGCTGCATGTATGTGGAGGAATGAATGATAAGGTGGATGAAGTATGCGAAATGATGGATGACAGAGGAATAGATTTGTTATGTGTGAATGAGACGAAACGAAAGGGAAAGGATGCAACTGCACATGGCATGTATACCGCGTATTGGTCTGGTGTAGACGAGACCGAACGGGCATGCCAGGGAGTCGGTTTCATCCTTTCAGAAAGAATGGGTCAATGTGTGAAAGAGTACGAATGTGTAAGTCCAAGGCTGCTATGGATACGAATGAAAGTGGGCTTAAAGAAGCTGTTCCTGCTAGGGGTGTACGCCCCAGACATGTCTAGGCCCACTTACATCCGAGAGCAGTTTTGGGACATGGTAAAGATGGTGTTGACAAAATGTAAAGAAAATGAAAATATTATTATGTTAGGAGACTTTAATGGACGGGTTGGGGTGCAGAGGTCTGGTTATGAAAGGATATTGGGGCGTTTGGTGATGAAAGTATAAATGAGAATGGTAAGACCTCCTAGTAGTGTGGGAATCTTTTTGTGACGAATATTTTTTTCGTCATAAGAAGATTCACATGTATACATGGGAAGGAGGTGATGATAGAAGCATGATAGATTTCGTAATTGTGGATGAAAGAATGAGGAGCGCAGTCGTAGATACAAGGGTTTACCGGGGGTCCAACGTAGGGACGGATCATTACTTGGTCTTATGTCGAATTAATGGTCTTTTCAAGCGTTGGCGGCATCGGACATCTGTGTCTACCACTGCGTTACAGCGTATAAGAATAGAGAAGTTACAAGATGAAGATGTGAAAGAGAAGTATAAATGTAGACTGAGAGGAAATATTAGATGTTTGAATGAGTTGTGTATGAATGATTTAGACTTGAATACTGTGTGGGATAATATTAAGAAAGGTTTGGTGGATGCCGCCACCGAAGTATGTGGTGTAAGTAAGAGAACAAATGAAAGGAAAAGTAATACGTTGTGGTGAGATAATGAGGTACGGGTGGAAGTTGAATCAAAGAAGAAAGTATGGTTAGATTTACTAGCAACCAAAGCTGGTAATTATTCTGGTATGAATGATGAGATTGAAAGAAAAAAGGCAGAATTTAGACGTCTAAATAAGAGAGTAAAAGAAGTTGTTGAAAGGAAAAAGAAAGAAAGAACGGATAAGAATGATAGAAGGATATGTGATAATTTCCAGGCTAACATAAAAATGTTCTGGAAACTCGTAGGAACTGCCAGGGGAAATACAAAACAGCCTCTAATGAATGCTATAAGAGACGAGAATGGATGTATTCTGAATGATGAAGCTTCAAATTTAAACAGATGGAAGGAATACTTTGAAAGCGTGTTTATGAGTGAAGAGTCGTCTGAATTAAATGAACTAGAAATTCCGAAAGGAGTGGAAAGGGGTATGGAGATAAGTGTGATGAAATAATGAAAGCAATGAAAAGCATGAAAGCAGGTAAGGCAGCTGGATATGATAGAGTATCACTCGAGATGCTAAGGGCTGGAGAGGGAGTGGTGGCAGGCCTGCTGTACACCTTGTTTAATTTATGTTGGGAATTAAAACGGGTACCGGATGACTGGTGTAAAGCAGTTATAGTACCAACATATAAAGGAAAAGGGTCACAGCAGGACTGCAAAAACTACCGTGGAATCAGCTTGCTTAGTATTGTGGGTAAACTGTATGCTAAGGTGTTAATTGAAAGAGTTATGAAAGAAACTGATGGAAAAATTTGGGATGTGCAAGCGGGCTTTAGAAAGGGAATGGGGTGTACAGATCAAGTCTTTTCCATGCGCATGATTGCGGAGAAGTTTTTGGCCAAAAACCAGAAAGTTTTTTGTGCGTTCATGGACTTGGAAAAGGCTTATGACAGAGTGGACAGGAATGTGTTATGGCAAACACTGAACTCATATGGGTTGAGCGCTGGTTTGATACAGGCATTAAGGTCTCTTTATAGGGACTCTAGTGCTTGTGTCAGGATCAATGGGGTCTACTTGGACTGGTTTGGCATCCAAAAAGGTGTCAGACAGGGCTGTGTAGCTTCCCCTTGGCTGTTCAACCTATTTATGGACAGGTGTGTGGCCGTGGTAGGAAAAGGGAAGATCTCCCGCCGGGCAAGGTGTTCTGCCCGGGGAGCGGCCAACACTCCATGTGATAGTTCGGAGATGTTCTATATATACTGTTCATGATTCGGAATGTTGATAGCGTGATTTAGGCTTCGGTGTGTTTCGGTGTGCTAGTGGCGAGACGACAGCGCCGCTACATCACCCCCCTGCTCAGACCGGAGGTCGATAGTGAAGTCTCGTTGTCGACGAATGTGCAAGTGCCAGGAGATTGCCTTGTAGTCTGCGGTGAGTCGAGAAGAAGGCAAGTAATCTGCGAGAGTGCCGTGTAGCAGAGGCGAGCGGTAAGGCTCAGAGCCGTGCCGAACACTGTATAGCGCAGAGAGTAGCTTGAAGGAACAGGAAGCATTATTATTCCAGTGCTGCGATGAACCTTGTGAAGCTAGATGGCTTGCAGGATATGAAGACTGCAGACGATATCTGCTCGGTAGCGAATGGGTGGGGTATTTATGACGATGATGAAAGCTTGAAGTTTCCGAAGGTTGTTGGTTGCATGTTCAGATCACGTCGGGGTCACCACTGTGGCCGTGGTAGGAAAAGGGAAGATCTCCCGCCGGGCAAGGTGTTCTGCCCGGGGGAGCGGCCAACACTCCATGTGATAGTTCGGAGATGTTCTATATATACTGTTCATGATTCGGAATGTTGATAGCGTGATTTAGGCTTCGGTGTGTTTCGGTGTGCTAGTGGCGAGACGACAGCGCCGCTACAGGTGTTTGCAAACTTTGAAAGATGAAGAATGTGGGTTAAGAATGGGCGCGTTAACCGTCAAATGCCTTTTGTATGCCGATGATCAAGTCATATTTGCGTCATCGGCGGCTGAGTTGCAAATGATGGTTACATTAATGAACTGGAAATTAAAAGAAAGGGGAATGAAAGTGAACGCAAGTAAGACGAAAGTGATGGTTTTTGAAAGAGAAGAAAGCAAAACGGTATGTGAAATAAGAATAGAAGGAGAGTTAATTGAGCAAGTGGATGAGTTTGTGTATTTGGGATGTGTATTTAGCAGGGATGGTAGATATGATAGGGATATAGAACGACGAGTAAATGCAGGGAATAGAGTGAATGGGGCACTACACTCTATTGTGAAGAACCAGAATGTGTCAAAAAAGGCACGTATGGTAATTCATAGTGCTGTGTTAGTCTCTACTTTGTATGGTAGTGAAAGCTGGGTGTGGCAGAAGAAGCACGAAAGTAGAATAAATGCTGTAGAAATGCGGTCTTTAAGGAGTATGCTAGGGTTGAATCTGAATGACAGGGTGAGAAATTGCGTGATAAGAGATAAATGTGGTATGCAAGATGATGTTGTGACCAGGATTAAGAAAGGAATGATTCGGTGGTTTGGTCATGTAGAAAGAATGAATGAGGAAAGGGTGACAAAGCAAATTTATATGGCAGATGTGAACGGCCGAGTCGGGAAGGGACGCCCTAGAAAAAAGTTTATGGACCAAATTGGCGATATTTTGAAAAGGAGCCACGTTAGAAGTACCCTTAACCGACGAGCATGTATGCGTAGATATAGGGATGTAAAGGAGACGAAAGATGTATGTCACGATCGTGCCAAATGGAAGTCCGTAGTCTCTGCCTACCCCTCTGGGTGACAGGCGTGAGTGTTTATGTTTATGTATGTATTATGTAATTATATATAGTTACCCCTAACCCTCGGCCGTTTGATCTCCACTGCCGATGGCTTCCACCTGGTTCGGTTTTTATTTTACCTCAAAATAATAATAATATCATTCAGACCGAATTTGAAGGTTTTACTTCTACTGCGTGTGACATGCACACATGTTTTTGGTTCTTCATCAGCCTAAAGTCCATGACATCCATGCTTGGCAGCCGGATTGGTGATTGCGGTATACTAGACGTCTAAACTGTTGCCGTTCACCGCTCCGGGCGAAATACATGACATACAACATCCGTTGGAAGCGACACCACATAGATTTCCACAATGGTAGAGCCCTGTAGTGGTACAACTGTCAACAACTATAAGACCTTTTTAGCATTTCCCATAGCTCTGAACACCCACGGGACGAATTTAAAATGTCGTGTTGGATTCTCTGAAGCCACCACCATACGGCATAATATATAGGCGGTCCTGTTAATAGTGATCCAAACGTAATGTAGCGAGACATCAGATCGTGCCCTATACCGTTCTGACTATTTCTGTGTGTGTTTGAGTGTGTGTGTTTGAGTGTGTGTGTTTGAGTGTATATGTTTGAGTGTGTGTGTTTAAGTGTTTTGTGTGTGTGTGTTTAAGTGGAGTGTGTATGTGTTTAAGTGGAGTGTGTATGTGTTTAAGTGGAGTGTGTATGTGTTTAAGTGGAGTGTGTATGTGTTTAAGTGGAGTGTGTATGTGTTTAAGTGGTGTGTGTCTGTGTTTAAGTGGCGTGTGTATGTGTTTAAGTGGAGTGTGTATGTGTTTAAGTGGAGTCTGTATGTGTTTGTGTGTGTGTGTGTGTGTGTGTGCTTGCGTGCGTGTGTGTGTGTGCGTGCGTGTGCGTGTGCGTGCGTGTGTGTTTGAGTGTGTGTATTAACAGGACACCCGTATAATTCATTATTGATTAAAAATGCCATACATTTTATTGTATTTTTGTGTACGCCAAATATTTTAATTTTATAATATATTGACAGTAATAGGTGCTTCGTTATAATAAAAGTAATTCTTCGATATTTTTTACATCGTTCCCGTTTTATTATTTAAAATCAAAACATATAGCCCATAACTAAGAGGGAGACTCAGATTTATATGCGAACTTAAAATTAAAAATTTACATTTTCAGGAACGGGACTCGGTGATGCTAGGCGGTATATCGCCAAATCATGAATATTATGACAGTAAATCCAGCACCGGAACACCAGTCAGCTATAACCAATTAAATTACAATAAAAATATGCAAAGGTTTGTTGGTAATAATGTTTAAATGTTGGCAATATTTATAATTTATACGACAATACTTTGCGATTAGAGTACCTGTCTCTTAAATGTTGAGTTAGAATATTAAATCTGAGTCGAAGCAGAATTAGTCTAAAAACGATAACTGTTTTCGGGTTTTGACATGCAGTGAAGGAAACTGTGCGTGAACGAAACCGTTTCTCCAGCTTTGTATCTACACAAATCACTGATTGTGTCCTGTAAAATATTCTTTGATATTTTATAATTAATATTTTCAAAAAAAATATCAAAAACCATACTACTGTTACTGAATTTTCTATCCTTTAAATTTTTTATGTATTTTATCTTCATAACCAAGCTTAGAATAATGATAGCTCAGAAGTTAAGCGGAAAGTTTCAAGCTACACAAGCGAACTTAATTCGAAACTCTCTGGTACTCTAAGTACCCGGCTGTGAGGTGGGACAGATCGTGGGAAAACTCGATGTCCAAAAAAACTAAAAATATTTCGAGGACACGTGAAGTCCGCCTGTACGGAATATTTCTTTTACAAATTCAAATCTATATTAGCAATGTAAGGAGGCCTGTGCCCCGTCGTGGGATATGTTGGCTGTTATTAAACATTTTTATAATAAAAATGCAAAAGGTTGATATAATTATTTTTGTATATCTTAGGTATTTCGAAAGCTATCCGCTATATTCCTTTGAAGACCATAACACAGCAATAGGTGGAAACATCCGAGGGTTAAAAGATCCTAAAAATATTTCCAAGTAAGTTATAAATATTTATGTAAGTAATATTTTTATGTAACAACTACTATATTATGTTTCTTAAATATCAGCCAAGTATTTATTTAATCTTTATTATACACCTTATATACTAAGGTATATAAAGGGCGGACTTCATGCCTTATGGCATTCTCTGCCAGTCAACCCTGGATGATTTGAGAAACTGTGGCAGGTGTAATCAATCACTTCATAAATAAATAATAAGGATATAAAACAAAATAAAATGCAAATGAATAGAATAGATATATAGTTAGTAAAACATACATACTTACTTAATATATAATATAGGATAAATAAATATATAAACGGGTACTTCTATACAAAACTATAAGTAAATTAAATATTATGAGACAGAAATAAAATAACACAATACATATTAAAATACATTATACAGAATATTTTTTATAAAGTGACAGAGAGAAAAAAAAACGATAGTCGGATAGTCAGGTGGTATTATTCTTACGACAGAATTCTCGAACTAGTCTTAAAATAGTTCTTGTTATTAGTTTTCTTGATATAAACAGGCAAGGCGTTCACTTTTTACTGTATAGACTGTACAGTAAAAGAGGAATTAAAGAAACCACTTATTTTATAATCATTATTTTTTTTACTATCTGTCCTTTCAAACTTTATTAACTTTAAAACTTGTTTACATGTAAGACTGTTGCTAAAGTTGATAAAACTATTCTTATAATAAATTGGAGTTATTTAAAGCTTTTAGAGAGAAAAAACAACATTTATCATGTTTTATTTTCGTTAGTTTGTTTTTAGCTCTAGCTGCTAGCTTGCAATCGATATCGACGTAAACTTCATTTATTGCAATATTTTATTAATTTTCAGAATAATTTATTGTAATTCACGTGAATTAGTCAGGGGCTTAACTTATATTAAAGTTTAACTCTTGTAGCTTTTAATTCTTAAATCGGTGTATTGTATAAAAGTGGGTGTAAAATGTATTAACGAGTTTGATCTGTTTGATAATTTATCATTGTATCATATTCATTTTAACAGTGATCTAATATAATTATTTATAGGGTTAGCATGCGTACTTTTTAGGTACGTTTGCACACTATCAAGTACATATTAGAACGTAGAACTACATTTTCACACCACCAGGTGGTATTGCAGCCCAGCACTGGTATGTAATTAGTTAAAAGAAATTGAGATTAAAGTGGACTCGAGTGAAGAATTGAATGACAATTTTATGTTTGCACTTATATAATCTTAAATAGTACTTGGTTTTGAATTGTCGATTATTGCAAAAGAAAATATTTACATTTTGTTGTTAAAATGTTCGAAGTTTTATTGAATGGTACTGCTTCTGTTCCTGCTCTGGAGTCCATTTCGGTCCATCGCCTCTGTATTTTTGCCACCGGCAGGGGTCTGAATACTGTAATAGCCACTATTAGGTGGACTGCCTCGTTGGTCTAGTGGTTGTAGTAGTGCGACTACTGATCATGAGGTCCTGGGTTCGAATCCCGGGTCGGGCCAAAAATCAATTATTGAGTTTTTCTGTCAAGATATTATCAGTAGCTGCCAGGAGTCAGGAAGTTGGCGGTGTCTCACCCCCGTGCCTCGGAAAGCACGTGGAGCCGTTGGTCCTGCGCCTGATCTCTCTCCGGTTGTGTCGGTTTACCGTCCCATCGGATGATGAGAGTGAGGGAATAGAGAGTGCACTTGTGCTTGCGCATACACTTGGGCACTATTATCCTGTCCTGCGCTGATCGCTAGCATCCGTTGGGACTGGCCGCCGTGACCGAAATTCGGTCTGGAGGGCATTAGGTGGACTGTAAGTTCATTTGTCACTCGTTTATGTTATAATGTAATTACAAAACATTTAAAAAATATTTACAGTGATCGCAATTCGCCGTCGGCACGGACGTGCGACTCTAGTGATATCGACTCCAACCCATTAATAATGGGAGGGGTTAGTTCATTGCCACCTGTGGGGGATTATCAAACTGTTCGACTTACAGAGTCCCTTTTATCAAAGTGAGTTCTAGTTTTTTTCACTTAACTTAGGTTCTATAATTGTGAAGAGTCTATTCCTAAGAACATATATATGTAAATGTGGTAGAGCCATTCTGCAGCTATGTATTATGTTTGCACGAAGCGTGAAAGACCATATTGATAAGCGTGAAATAGCAGCTAATAGCTGCATTGTTTCTTATGATGAGTGTAGAGAACCGGAAATTCTTTTTACTGGATTCCATAGTTCTCAGTGGTAAAATGCATCTGTACTTTGGTACTTTATCGAGGGTTGATGTCTATGGGCTACAGCATCTGATGTACTTGCGAGCTCGTTTATTATCCTGTAAAATTTAAGCAATGTATATATTTCCTTATTCATAAAATGTCATATTTGCTTATTAGTTGTATATTTTAAATAATAAGAATGGCAATTAATTTAATTAATATAATATTTAAGATAATTATGATAACAAAAAAGAAAACTAATTTAACGTGTACGCGATACTATTTTTTGTACTATATCATATCTTAAAAAAAACTTTCTTTACAATTTGTCGAACTTTAGATTGGATCAAACCTTAATAAGTTACTTGTATAACTTTCCAGGTCGTCATTTTTATCCTTGATTGGCGTCAACATCGTGCATTGTATCACTGCAAAATACTTAATAATCTTATGTGATTTTCTTTCAACAGACATAATACAAAAATGGAGAAAGAACTAGCTAAGATGCATCGTGAAAGTCGCTCGAGTAGTAAAGGAGAGAAAGATAAGGCTTCATATGAGAATAGACGGAAAAATAAAGAACATCTTGCGAGATGCAATGCTTCATTTCAGCCTACATCAGCTGGTATAAATATGAGCGGCTCTAAAGTGAGTAAAATAAAAGCAATATTTATCGCTATTATTTCTTAATTTGGTACATTTTATTTTAATGATTTCGATACTTATGCTAAATGTATACCTAAATATTGACTGCTTCGTTGGTGTGGTGGTTCGAATCTTGGGTCAGGACAAGATCATTTTAAGTATTAGGTTTTTCCGTCAAAAAATTTTGTCAGAAAGTTTGCGGTTTTCAACCTTTGCTTCGGAGAGCACGCAATGTCGTTGGTCCCGTGACCTAGCTTTCTCCTGTCTTGTCGGATGATTATCGAACATCGAGGGAGTAGAGAATGCCCTGTGTTTACTCACACACTCATGCACTGTAATCCTGTCCAGCTCAGATGGTTGAACCTAGCCGCCGCGCCGTGACTGAAATTATTTCTAGGGACATTGTTCATTATTTTTACCTAAATAGATGTTTGTAGATAAAGAATGTGTAACGTAAATACACACAAATACATATGTTTGTGACTTGCTTTAAATTCATTTCATTTATTATATACCTCCAAAATGTAGAAGAAATTAATTCCTCCATTATAGCGAACAACAGTCATGTTTGCTTATATCAATTATATTTATAATACATATGTTTATTTGAAATTAATCTGTTTATAATTAATAAATTTATATTTAATTTATGATGTTTGTTAATATATATTTTTACTTTGACAATGTCGAAAAAAGTCATGAAAAGTGTTATCGAATTTGCAGCCTGTCGAATAATGTGTAATATGCTCCTTTAACGTGTTTCACTTTAAACTACTAGATGTAACGAAAACAGTTTAACATTTTTTATGACGTAGGTAAAGCAGATATAATAAATATAAATTAACTAGTTATCCACCCCGGCTTCGCACGGGCAATTTCTGGATCTCGACAACAGCGGGTCCTTCCGGTTCCAAATGTGAATATAAACCATCCAGGTATCCATTCAAACACACAAAAAAGTTCCTAAAACCTTCAAGAAAAGAGCTTACTCCTTTCTAAAGGGCCGGCAACGCACCTGCAATTCCCCTGGTGTTGCGGTTGATCATGGGCGGCGGTAGTCACCTAACATCAGGTGAGCCGCATACTCGTTTGCCCCCTCTTCTATAAAAAAAAGATTTCATCAAAATTGGTCACCCCGTTTTCGAGTTTTAGGGAGACTAACAGATATCAATTGATTTTTGATTGATTGGTATATGTCTGCAAATAGTATAATCTGAAATAATTAATGCACTGATCTTTGACCATTTGAAATTTGTCAATGAGGCATGTATATTCTGTTTTATTGCCACGATATCGGTACTAGCACAGAATAAATAATAGTACTACGTACAGAAGTTGCACTCCTTTGATGTCGACGCCTACATTATTATTATTAATCAGATAAATCGCACACGCAAGCTAAATAAAACTTTATCGCTGCGCGCTAGTGTCCATATTACTTTGCATCTTTTTTGTCACGGCGGACTTTCCGTGGTTATTAAGCGATGTCAATAGAAAGTAAAAAAATACATTGCGAAATGTTAAAGCGATGTCAATAGAAAGTAAAAAAATACATTGCGAAATGTTAATTATGTTACTTAGGTGAAGTACTAACTAATATTCTGACTATGATTGAACCATACTTTCGCCCACATGTGAGTTCTGCGATGCCTAATGCATGCAAATTGCAAGGTCATTCGTCGGGAATCGTAACGCTTGGGAGAAATAGGTTTTGTTTTGTTTTTACGATTTCTAACAGAAATGTGATCTATTCTATTTAGATCTCGCCCTAGACGATCTCGAAAAAGCCGAATGCCTAGCCGACAGTCTAGAGTACCAGTGCACGCCATCCACCGCACCAATAGATCCCGCTCACCTATTAGAGGTAGAAACGGAAGTAGAAGTAGTAGTCTTCACGAGTGATATCCCAAAAGACCCCGTAGTGAACACCGCTCTCTTTACCGACGATACGGCACTCTTTGTGTCAGACTTCAACAAAAATAGACTCTCTATAAAGCTCCAAAAAGCGACCAATCGCCTTGGTGAATGGTTCCGCCTATGGAGAATTGACGTGAATCCCGAAAAAAGTGTAGCAGTATACTTTCAACGGAATTCAACAGCAAGTTCTAAACCCAAAACAATCTCTTTATACGACCGCCCAATCCCTTGGGAAACATCGGCCAAATACCTAGGCGTCACGTTCGACTCCCGCATGAGTTTCAAGACGCACATAAGTGTAGTACGCAACAGAGCCAAGTCAATAATTGGCCGTCTACACCCTCTCGTTAACGGCAAGAGTAAGCTGTCGCTAAGACACAAACTCTGGCTTTACAAAACCTGCATTAGACCAGTTATGTCCTATGCAAGTGTAGCTTTCGCCCACACATACAAGACCCATATTTTAAAACTCCAAAAAGTACAAAACTTTTTCATCCGAAAAGCCACCGGTGCACGGTGTTATCAACGGAACTCTGATTTACGCAATGGTTGTGAATTACCATCTATCTCCTAATATTTTAAGAAGATGTCCTAACGCTACTTTGATAGAGTAGAAACCCACCCTAACCCGCTAGTGACAAACACAGCTAACTACGTTCCGATTACAAACGCCGCGCCCTATCTCCGTAGACCGCGAAATGTGTTAATAGAAACACCTCAACCGCTCGATCCAGTCGACCCAAACGTCGCAGGCACATCACACAACGACACTACACCCACACTAAATGGGACAAACACTAATAGGACAACGAATGGGATGCGTCGCACCCGCAGATGGGCACGACGCGTTCCAGCTCACACCGCGTACCCACCGTACACCCGCGTTCCTGGACGGTTCTCCCCGCCCAGACCATCCACCGACACGAGCTGAGCAGGCAGAGACGGTGGTCCGCACTCCCCCCCCCCTCGGACTGCGGTTAGATAGCTCAAAGAAAAACGCCTAAAAGGCGACATGATGATTGGTAACAATATCAAATCATAAACCATCTCATCATCATCCTCACCTCATTGCCTTTCCCTTTTTCAATTAGCTAATTGAAAAAGGCAAGCCCTGAGACAAGATGACGCAGTAAGAGCATAGACTAACAGCACTAACATCTAGATAATAAGTTACAACAATTAGTTAAAATTTACTTCACTATCATTGAAGTAATATGTACTTACGTACAGTGGCGAATCTTCCATTAAAGCCGAAAAGCCGGGCTTGCCTTATTAAACCTGAATCAATCAATAATATCAACTAATAAAATAACTCGTAAAATGTTTCAAGCTATTTCAAATTTCCCGCGCACTCCACTGTTCGACACATGTCGACCGATGACCTCGTATTGCCTTAGCGATACTGCTGCTGTCATAAAAAATGAGTTTTAATAGAGCTAATAGTTGTCTCCCTCGCTCGCGTGGGCTTTTTACGGGGCTTTCGAGAAGACGATCGCTCTCTTTCTAACCTATGGCAAAATATTCTATAATGAAATATAACTACGATTGTATATATAGCAATTAGTATAGAGATTTAAAGCCAGGCTTTTGGGAATAAATTTGTTAAAAGCGGAGGCGCGCGGGCAATACGTTTGCAAGTTCATTTCACGTTTCAATGTTTATTTACTCTGTGTGCTTATCTTAAGCGATTTAATATTACGAGTTCAAAATGTATGCTTTTTTAAAGATTTTTAAGTGTTCCATGTGATGAATTGAAGTGTGTTAAAGTAATAATCGGAGAGGAAATCTTTAAACTTTGTTGAGATAATACACAAAGTTAAGTGTATTTCAGACTTATCAATTATCGCAATTAAAAACAGTTATTGGTACAATTAAAACGTTCACCAACATTTTACGTGGACGTAATTAAATCTTTCCATAAGAAAGCGAGACGATTCCACTTATCTTATCTTTTATCCATTAGAATGTAAATAATTTTTTTTTAATTTTGTACATAGTTTGTTTGTACTTTGTTCGTGTTTTACTTTTGTTCATGTATTGTATTGGATGTAAATATTTTTTTTTCCTTCGCTTAAACAAACCGAAACGGCTTTCTTCAAAGCCACCGAAGCTATGCAATTGCTGATATGTAATACAATCTATCTAGCAGTGGTATGCCTTCTGTGTGCTTTGTTAAACACGTCCTTGACAGCACTGAATATGAAACTGAAGCGTGGAGACAGATCAAGATTGGTGTATTTTTATAAAACTGCTAAAAACAACAATCTATATTTTTATCAATTTATATCTTGGGCTTGCCCTAGCTTGGAGCTCTAGCTTCGCCACTGTGTGTACTCGTATAATATACTGATATCAAAAACTAGAAGAATGTTAAATACAGAAACATTTTTTTTTCTTTTCAGTCACACGGCGTTAAAAGAGGTACTAAGCAATCTGACCATGAACCTGGACTTCATAAGCATCATTGCTCCTCTCCCTGCCAGTCGCGTCCGACTGATCCAACTAGTACACCCATTTCACAAGCATTACCATCTTTATCAACTGCAATAGGTACGTAGATTTAAGTAATGTTGTAATTTTGTAGCTGTATTTTTGTATACCTAATTATAATTAAAAATTTTTTTGTAAAATATGTTTTTATAGCAGTCACCATATTGCACTGAATTATTTGCTCTCGCACATAATAAAATAAAGATTCCTGAAGTGACTATCCACCCACTCGCTATCAGGCGTCGCAACACAGGTTCTAGTGCTTTATTAAATCAAACATACTCTTTTGTTACTTTACTTAGTTAATGTATGAGGTTAGTCGATGATTTAAACCTCGGAATTATACAAATAAAATGTTGAACTATTACATTTTATACGGAGTTCTTGTATAGTTTTTACTGGTTTGGGCGTCTGATTACACAATTTAAGTGTCATTAGATCGTGGGTCAGAAAGTTTGAATTAACCAAACCAATTCCACGCTAAATCAAAGACCTGCGGGTCGCCCAAGGTCAATAAGAACACAAGAAGCAATTGATGAAGTTAACGTTTCAGCGAGAGCAAGCAGTAGCAGTATATTTCGAATGGTACAAAAGCATTTTACATTATTTTATTTTTCGAAAGTGAAGAACTGTATGTCTATAACCGTGTAACGTGGTTTCAACAAGATGGCGCCACATGCCATACTTGTAATGACTAAAAAAATTTAATGACTACTTGGCTGTCATCAACGAGATGTTTTCTGTAAATGTCATATCGCACAGATTGTTTCCAAGAAGTCGAGACCTGACTCCATTAGATTATTTATGTGGATACCTGAAAAGATAGGTTAAATTCAATGATCCAACCACTATTGCCAAAATAAAGGCCAATATCCATAAAGAAATAGCCTCTATTCTACGCGCACTGTGCCAGCGAGTTATTGTAAAATAAAAAAATCCCATATATCTTTTTTAATTTGAAAATAAATTTGTATATGTACTAATTTTAGTCTCCTTTTAATCATTTTTAAAATCCACCAGACTTTCTAACCCCCATATAAAAAATGACGAAATCGTCATTTAATATATCTCTGTTTCGTCCTCCAAAACTGAATCGTTTTTAATAGGCTGACTTTGATAGGCTTGTATGAAATGAACGATGAATGGATGGTTTTTAATATAAGGAAAACATATTTTATTTACTTGGTGACTTGTGTCACTCGTTTATTTTACAAAAGAAAATCCCAACTCATGAAAAAATTAATTTTTCATATTCTCTCTTATGTACCTTAAAGTTCGTTAAGATTCTATTTCATATATTGAAACTATGTCTGGTAAACTTTTTAGAAGTAAAAATCCGGTAAATCTTTTATAAGTAAAAAGTTTACGAAAACGTTGAAAAAATACTATATTTTAAAAGTTTTATTAAACAGTTTGTAACTTTAAACATTTTTGTTGATATGTTTTATAAAAAAATCTTAATACTTATAAGTGGTTAATTATCTTGAGGCATAAATAGAATTTAATTTTACGCATTGAAATTTCAATGAATATTGTATGTAACGAGAGTTAACAATAGTTGATATAACTTGGGTTATTGTATTCGTTAATGTAAAAAAATGTTTTGTTATAGCTTCATCTCCATGTCCATCAAACCCCATCAATAATATGAACACATTCATCTTGGGCGTTGGGACACCACAACAATTGTCAATTGTGAACCCAGTAGCCGCTATGCCAGGTATTATGAACATTATATTAATTAATTTTGCATTTTCATAATTTTAATTGTTGCCTAACTTATTACTTTTTATGCTTATAATAATATATTTATATTTAAGACAATTTTTTTCAATGTATTTAATTTTTCAAGGTGTTATCTCCAACATAGTTTGTGAGCGTTTCAAAATTTACGAATAAGACTGAATAAACCTAACTATTCCTTTTTTATAGAATAAGGGTAACAAACGAGCACACAGTCCATCTGATGATGGGTGGATGCAGTGGCCCATAGACATCTTCATCGATCTTTGAATATAAATAAGAATGAAAATGCAGATGCGTTGTCACCTCTAAGGACAAAGTTAGAATGCCACGGTTCCATTAACATCGTTGGCCGTTAGTTTGGACATTGCGAAGGCTTTCGATCGGGTTTGGCACAAAGCGCTTCTTTCGAAGCTCCCTTCCTATGGGCTTCCCGAGAAATTGTGCGATTGGATCACCAGCTTTCTTGCAGATCGGAGCATCAAAGTCGTTGTAGACGGTGCAAGCTCCGATTGCAAGCCTATTAATGCTGGTGTTCCACAAGGCTGCGTGCTATCGCCAACGCTGTTTCTTATGCATATCAATGATATGTTGCAAACCCGTAACATTCATTGCTATGCAGATGACAGCACTGGTGATGCTCTTTACGCCGGCCGTGCCAATATTTCTCGGGAAAACGTCTCCGAGTACCGGGACAAACTTATGTCTGAAGTCGAGTCTTTGCTGAACAGAGTCTCGGATTGGGGACGACTAAATCTAGTCCAGTTTAACCCTCAGAAGTCACACGTTTGCGCGTTAACCGCTAAAAAGAACCCCATTGTCGTATCCCCTTAGTTTCAAGGCACTCCCCTTGTTGCCTCAGCCAATATCGGAATCCTCGGTGTCGACATATCGAGTGACGTACAGTTTCGTGGTCACTTGGAAGAGAAGGCCAAATTGGCCTCTAAAAAGCTTGGCGTGCTCAGTAGAGCGGGATAGTATTTCATGCCGGCACACCGCCTGCAACTTTACAAGGCGCAGGTTCGGCCGCACATGGAATACTGTTTCCATCTCTGGGCTGGGGCTCCCCAGTACCAGCTCCTTCCACTTGACCGCATCCAGCGCAGAGCGGCTCGAATCGTCGACGACCGAGTGCTTTCCGATCGGCTCGATTCACTGGCGCTGCGAAGAGAAGTTGCATCTCTTTGCATTTTCTTGCGCATATACCATGGGGAGTGCTCTGAGGAATTGTTCAGATTAATCCCAGCCGCCAAATTTCGTGAACGCACTACGCGGCAAACGTCCCGATACCATCCACACCATCTGGATGCTTGTCGGTCCACCACTGTACGTTTCAAAAGGAGTTTTCTTCCGCGTACAACCTCTCTGTCGAATAGTTTACCACCGGCGATTTTTCCAGACCTATACGATCTGGAGACCTTCAATAAAAGAGCTAACTCCTTTCTAAAGGGCCGGCAACGCACCTGCAATTCCCCTGGTGTTGCGGTTGATCATGGGCGGCGGTAGTCACTTAACATCAGGTGAGCCGCTTGCTGGTTTCCCCACTCTTCTATATAAAAAAAAAAACACCATACGAAACACAACTGCGTTAAGCTTCTATTTTACGCCAGTGTTTTGCGAGAGACCCATTCGTGTTAGAACCATTACATAGTTGCAGCGTGACTCTACAACGTATAAACATCCAGACACGGAACAATTATTTAGTCTTTCTTTTCTTTTTTTACTTCAAATATTTATTTCATTATATATTATTCAAACATTATATTACATATATCATTCATTTGGATATTTATTTACGAAGTTTATAAACCATTATATATATAATATATATATATATATATATATATATATATATATATATATATATATATATATATATGTATGTATGTATTATTGTACGTGTATTTATACTATATGTGTGTATATTTAAATGTATTGTGTATGTATGTACTTTGTATATATGTATATTTTAATGTATCTGCACTTATTTATGTTTTATAATGGTGGCACCTGCCAACAATTGTGTTTGGCACCCAGGGTTGACTGGTAGAGAATGCCACATGGCATTAAGTCCGCCCTATGTATCCTTTAGCTTAAGGTGTTACATGTAAGTTATTAAATAAATAAATAATTTGTAGGCCATACAATTTCTTGTTCCATGCGAGATTCGAACCCGCGACCCTATGCGCCGAAACTCATTGCTTAGGGCATTACGCCACGAAGCCGTCGAGATTCTTCTATATTACTCGTGCAATGGAGGTGATGATTACTTCACTACGTATCCCACGACACCAACGATGTCATAGGTGCCGTCTATGAAAAATCTAAAAATAAAGTATAGCGTCATATCAGGGGAAATCATCTTGTAACTATCGAAACCATATGTAAAATATGTCAAACCTCACGAGCTCACGACTTTTGCTAAAGAAGTTTTTTTAGAAGAAAATTTAAAATAATTTTGCATAAAATGGCAAAAATAATTTCTCACTACAATTAATAATCTGTAATAGTTTAAATTAGTCTTCAGCTGCTTTTAATATAGGTTCAAAAAAACTTAATCACAGTGAAAAAAAACTGGTATCACATTATTACACATTTTTTTATTAATTAAGATTTTTGGCTTGGATGCTTCTCCTATAAGTTATATCTTCATTTCATTCGGGATCTTCGTTACTTCTTTTTAATATGTTGATGCGTTAAGTTTTTGGTAGATTGTGACGGCAGCTTGAGCCAACAGACGGTGGACGACGACAGTATCCTAATGCGCCTAAGCAGGAGGCACAATATCTTGAGGTTTACATCGGATCATCACGGAGCACTTGTATCATAGTTTCCAAAAGTAGTTCACATTCGCAGACATTTAATGAGTACATAAAACCGCACCAGTTTTACGCATCAAAATCTACTTCTAACATTTTTCTCTTCTCTCTCTCTTCTCTCTTCAACAATTTAAATAATATGCAGGAGCAGCGACAATCTTAATGTATTAAATTTGTGGTAATGGCGTCGAAAATAATTTTGTTAAAAATGCGTTTGAAAGTTATGCATAGGAAATCCTGAATTACAGTCAACCAAATCTAAGAAATACATTTTTTTATATTTTTTTTTATTTATTGGATTACTAACGTAAGATACAGCCAACTCAGATAAATATAAATTATTTGTTACATAGTACAATAGTACGAAACCTATCCAACTGCAGAGAGGTGTAAGACAGGGTGACGTTATTTCCCCGAAACTCTTCACCGCTGCATTGGAAGACGTTTTCCAGCTACTGGACTGGAAAGGATACGGTATTAACATCAATGGCGAGTACATCACTCACCTTCGATTTGCCGACGATATAGTCCTTATGGCAGAATCGCTGGAGGACTTAAGCACTATGCTCAATTACCTCAATAGTGCCTCCCAACGGATAGGTCTTAAGATGAACATGGACCAAACAAAGATCATGTTTAATGTCCATGTCACACCTATGCCGGTAGTTGTTGGTAGCACTAGGCTCGAAGTTGTTGACGAGTACGTTTACCTGGGACAAATAGTCCGGCTAGGTAAGTCCAACTTCGACCGAGAGGTCATTCGACGGATTCAACTCGGCTGGGCAGCGTTCGGGAAATTACAACGCATCTTCTCGTCAGGTATACCTCAAAACCTGAAAACTAAGTTGTACAACCAGTGTGTGTTGCCAGTGATGACATATGGAACTGAGACGTGGTCCTTCACTGCTGGCCGTATGAGGACGCTCAAAGTCGCTCAGCGAGCTAGGGAGGGGGCTATGCTCGGAGTTTCTCTGCGTGATAAACTTAGAAATGAGGATATCCGCAGTAGAACCAGAGTGACCGACATAGCCCAACGGATTAGTAAGCTGAAGTGGCAATGGGCCGGCCATATAGCTCGAAGAACCGACAACCGTTGGGGAAAAAAGGTTCTCGAGTGGCAGTCTCGTACCGGTAGACGAAGTGTGGGGCGACCCCCGACTAGATGGAGTGACGACCTGGTAAGACATGCAGGAAGTCGATGGATGCAGGTGGCTCAGGACCGTGCTTTGTGGCATACCTTGGGGGAGGCCTATGTTCAGCAGTGGACTTGTAAAGGGCTGTAATGATGATGATGATGATGATGATAGTACAATAGGTAACTGTTCTCACATTTATAAGTGACCACATCATGCGTTTTATCCTGTTACTGTAATGAAAACACTATAAAAATTATGTAAGTTAAAACAAGACAAAGGTCAATCACGATAGTTACGATAAAGGTAAGTCAACATTTTTAATTTTTGCAATAAAAGATGCGATGCTATCGAAGTGGATGTCAATATGCGAATTCTTCCCAACATATTGTTACGCGCCTAAGTCGACGGCACTAGCGCCATCTAGTGTCAGAGACGAGAGCGAGTGGAGCTATCCAGAAAATGACATCATTAATCTTTCAACCGACAGCGCATTCTAGTCTCGAACCGAAGAACTAAACTTCTAGAAGTTGAAACCTTAACTCTCGGTACCTTGCTCGTGTTTACTTGAATATTCTGGATATTTCGGTGCTAATTTATATTTATAGGCGCTGCAAGATGCGATCGGTGAAGTATTGAATTCGGCGAGACAAGCGAAGCTTCGGAGCGGAATATAGTGAATTAGTGTGCTTAATTATTGGTGTTTTAAACTTTAATTTGTGTAAAGAAAATTAAAGTGTTAATTTAGGTAATTCTATCGGCAATTTTTATTGTCACGAACCTCAAGCTCGTAACAATTGGTGTCAGAAGTGGGATAAAATCATGCCGATTTTACCTAAGGAGGAAACGGAGACGGACCAAAGAAGATTTGGTGGTGCAACGCCGCAGGCGTCGGAGGGCCTGCCGCCGGCTGCAGGCCCGTCAGTAGCTCCTACATCTGCAGCACCTGATTTAGGTGCTTTGATGGTGTTGCTGCAGGAACAGGCTCGCCGACAGGAGGAACAAGCTCGCCGACAGGAGGAACAGGTTCGCCGACAGGAGGAACAGGCTCGCCGACAGGAGGAACAGGCTCGCCGACAGAAGGAACAGGCTCGCCGACAGAAGGAACAGGTCCGTCAGTTGAAAGAGCAGCTGCAGAGCGGACAGGATGAACAGACCCGCCGACAGGAGGAACAGGTCAGTCGTTTGGAAGAGCAGCTGCGGG